GAGGAGGAGGAGGAGGAGGAGAAGGGACGGAGGAGGAGGAGGGACGGAGGTGGAGGAGGCGGAGGAGGAGGAGCGAGGAGGAGGAGGAGAAGAGGAGAGGAGGAGGAGGGAGGAGGAGGAGGAGGAGGACGGGGGAAAGGAGGAGGAATGAGGAGAGGATGGAGGAGGGAGAGGAGAGGAGGGGAGGAGGAGGAGGAGGAGGAAGAGGAGGAGGAGGAGCAGGAGTAGGAGAAGGAGGAGGAGGGAGGAGGAGGAGACGGAGGAGGAGGAGGAGGAGGAGGAGGAGGAAGGGGAAGAGACACATTACTAAGAAAACGTATCTTCATACTTCTAATGACACTAAGCAACATCATATTATAATAAGAAGAACAACCCGACTAAGACGAACAGTACTCATACGCAACATTCGAATGATCCTTCTACTACGAATGCGACGAATACCACGCCTAATACTAATGCGACGAGTACGCATACTACGAATACTACGAATGAGACTACTAGTGCTACGATGAAGCATGTGAAGACGAAGACGAAGACGAAGACTCATACGAAATTCCAGAATGACATCAAGGCTAATCCGAGTATTGGGAATACTAACAATGCTAATATTACTGATACCACGAAACTTTCTTCTTCTTCTTCTTCTACTACTACTACTACTACAACTACACTACAACTACTACTACAACCACTACTACTACTACTGCTGCTGCTGCTACTACTACTACTAATACTACCGTAGTAGTAGTAGTAGTAGTAGTAGTAGTAGTAGTAGTAGTAGTAGTAGTAGTAGTAGTAGTAGTAGTAGTAGTGGTAGTGGTAGTAGTAGTAGTAGTAGTAGTAGTAGTAGTAGTAGTAGTAGTAGTAGTAGTAGTAGTAATATTACTAGTAGTAATACTTTTTTTCAACGAGTATATTCGTGCCACTAGTATTGCCAGTTACGCTTATAACAGCACAAATGCTAACACGAATGCTGCTAATATTGGTAATGCTAATACTGCTCGCAACAATAGTAATACGGGTCATCCTAATAACGTTAATAGTAGTATTACTAGTACCACTAGTACTCGTAATACTTATACTACTACTGATAATAAGGAGGAGGATAACTATTCTGATGAGGAGGAGGGGGAGGAGAAGGGCGGAGGGCGGAGGGCGTAGGGCGGAGGAGAGGAGGAGGGGGAGGAGAAGGAGGAGGAGGAGGAGGAGGAGGCGGAGGCGGAGCGGAGGCGAAGGAGGAGGAGGAGGAGGCGGAGGCGGAGGCGGAGGCGGAGGCGGAGGCGGAGGAGGAGGAGGAGGAGAGGAGGAGGGTAAGAGGAGGAGGTGGAGGAGGAGGAGGAGGAGGAGGAGGAGGAGGATAGGAGGAGGAGGAGGAGGAGGAGGTGGAGGAGGAGCGAGGAGGAGCGAGGAGGAGCGAGGAGTAGCGAGGAACTGCGAGGAGGAGGAGGAGGAGGGCGTGATGGAGCGAGGAAGGGGGGTGCACAGAGATGCGTATGTATATATGTATGTATATACGTATGTATGTATGTATGTCTGTCTGTATGTACGTATGTTTGTATGTATGTATGTATGTATGCATGCATGTATGTATGCATGTATGTATGTATGCATGCATGCATGCATGTATGTATGTGTGTATGTATGTATGTATGTATATATGTACGTATATATGCATGCATGTATGTATGCATGTATGTATGTATATATACATATATAAGTATGTGTGTATGTATGTACGTCTGTATACATGTATGAATGAATACATGCATGTATGAATGTATGAATGTATGAACGTATGAACGTATGAATGTATGAATGTATGAATGTATGTATGTACGCATGTATGTATGTTTGTTTGTATGTATGTATGGATGGATGGATGAGGGAAGGCGAACTTAGGGTACACACATATATATATATACACGCATATACACATATATATATACACATATATATGTGTATATATATATATACATATATATATATATATATGCATATATAAGAAGGGGGAGGGAGAGGCTAGAGCAGCGGGGCAGGGGCCCAGAGCGTGGGCAAGGGCGGAACAGGGCAAGGCGAATGGAGAGGGAGCGAGGCAGAGAGAGAGAGAGAGACAGAGAGAGAGCGAAAGAAACATTGAGAGAGAGAGAGAGAGAGGGGAGAAGTAGGCTGCGAGCGAAGTGAAGAGCGAGGGAACTGGGAGGGGAGGGAGCTCTTCTGCCTCCTCCTCTGCCTCCTCCTCTTCCTCCTCACCCTCCTTTGTCCGTTGTAGTGAGCTTTAATGTGTCGGTCTCTGGGTGTCAGTGAAGGCACTGAGGCCCGCAAGCCAAACTTTGGAGGCGGCTCATCAGCTTGGCTGAGCATCTGCGCGGCTGAGCGGCGTTCCGTGACACATTCATGACAGCTTTCTTTTTCCGTCGATTGCCTCCCTCGCTGGGACCCGGCCATCAGGATTCGGAGTCCATATTGATCCGATCGATCCGATTCGACGACAACGATGCACTAAGCACGACGCACGACGCACGACGATGCACGCGCCGTCGCCGACGCCGACGCCGACGCCGACACAGACGACGACGACGAAACACGACGACGATGACGACGACGCCGACAACGACGACGACGACGCACGATGCACGACGCGCGACGCGCGACGCACGACGACGACGACAACGACAACGACGACTACGACGACGCCGACGACGACGACGCCGACGACGACGACGACGCCGACGACGACGACGCCACCGCGGACGACGATGTCGACGAAGCAAAATCGAGTATAGTAGAATGTTGGGGTGCGGTGAGACAGAGTAGAGTAGAGCAGAGTGGAGGAGGGTCGAGCAGAGCAGAGAAGTAGCAGAGTTGCGTAGGGTAAGAGCAAAGTGGAGTAAAGTAGAGTAGAGTATATTAAGGTACGATGGGGCAGAGTATAGCAGGGTAGAGTAAGACAGAGTAGTGTAGAGGAACGTCGAGTAGAGTACGTTAGGGTAGAGTAGCGTAGAGTACAGCATGGCCCTAGTAAGACACTGACAGAGCTAGGTCGAGTCCTGGTAGCATTCTATGAGAGCCGCCGCCGCTGACGTCGCCGTCGCCGTCGCCGTCGCTGTCGTCGTCGTCGTCGTCGCCGTCGTCGTCGCCGTTGTCGCCGTTGTCGCCGTTGTCGCCGTCGTCGTCGCCGTCGCCGTCGCCGTTGCCGTCGCCGCCGCCGCCGCCGCCGTCGCCGCCGCCGCCGCCGTCGTCGTCGTCGTCGTCGTCGTCGTCGTCGTCGTCATCGTCGTCGACGTCATCGTCGTCGTCGTCGTCGCCGTCGTCGTCGTCGTCGTCGCTGCTGGGGCGTGTGGTTGTGGATTCCGCCAATGATCTTCCGAGGGGGGGTCCAGACACCCCCATTAATTTCCCCTGAGGTTGGGGGGGTCATGGCCTCCTTCACTGATTATCCCGGGGGGGGAGCGTTTCCGGCACCCCCCTCCGCGAATTTCTTAATTTTCCCGCCATGGGGGGGGGGCCGGGGTTTCGGTCCTCGGTTCTTCCCAGGGGGGACGGGCTTGGGGTGGGGAGGGGTTCGGGGGGGGAGGGGCCCCCTGGTTTCTCCCCCCCCCCCCCCGTCGGAGTTTTTCCAAGGGGGGGGGGGGGGGGAGGGGCCCCTTGGTTTCTAAGCCGATCCCCCTTTGGAGACAATTTTCCGGCCGGCGACGGTGGATCGCGCATGCGGCCCCATCCGACGCCCCTGCCGATGTGATCCGAGCTCCCGATCCGACATCGGCTGGCCCCGCCCTCATGCGGCCACCCGCGAGTGACCGCGCTGGCGCCCCTGCGCCCACCCGCCGCGCCCCACGCGGGTGCTTCGTGCGGGTTGCCTCGTGCTGTCTTGCCTTGCCTCGTCTCGCCCTGCCTTGCCTGTCTCTGTATTGTCGGGTCTTGCCTTTCCTTGTCTTGGCCTGGCTCGTCTTGCCTTTCCTTGTCTTGTCTTGTCTTGCCCTGCCTGTTGTCTTGTCTTGTTTGTCTTGTCTTGATTGTCTTGCCCTGCCTGTTGTCTTGTCTTGTCTTGTCTTGTCTTGTCTTGTCTTGTCTTGTCTTGTCTTGTCTTGTCTTGTCTTGTCTTGTTTGTCTTGCCTTTCCTTGTCTTGTCTTGTGTTGTGTTGTGACCCTGTCCCCCGGCAGCAGGACTCCACACGAAGGGCTTCGTGCACCTCGACATCAAGCCGATCAACATCGTGCGCTTCGGGCTCGGCGCCCGCCCGCAGTGGCGCCCGGGGTCGCGGGCCCACCTCGAACCGAAGTGTTTTTTTCGTTCGACTAAGTTTTTACCTAACAGCGAAGACTGATATGTTTCTAGTGGGGTCAACAGAGCATCATGACTCCCCAGGGGGGTCCGGGCAGGATCCGGGGGGATGCCGGGGAATTCGTTTTAAGAAAACAGTAGCGCACTTCGTGGTCTTCGAGTTCCCAGAACTCCATTCCTGGGCATGATTTTGAATGCCCGGAGCCAACTGTAGGCCACTTCGTGTTCATCGTGTTCCCAGAACACCATTCCCAGGCCACATTTTGATTGCCCGGAGCCAATTGTGGGCCACTTCGTGATCTTCGTGTTCCCAGAACGCCAGTCTTGTGCTATATTTTGAATGCCCGAGCTGAAGCAGGCTGGGGCCGAGGTGTTCATCGTGTTCCCAGAACACCATTCCCAGGCCACATTTTGATTGCCCGGAGCCAATTGTGGGCCACTTCGTGATCTTCGTGTTCCCAGAACGCCAGTCTTGTGCTATATTTTGAATGCCCGAGCTGAAGCAGGCTGGGGCCGAGGCAGGCCGAGGCCGAGGCAGGCTGAGGCTGAGGCTGAGGCACGTCGAGGCAGGCTGAGGCTGAGGCTGAGGCAGGCTGAGGCTGAGGCAGGCTGAGGCTGAGGCTGAGGCTGAGGCTGAGGCTGAGGCCGAGGCAGGCTGAGGCTGAGGCTGAGGCAGGCTGAGGCTGAGGCAGGCTGAGACTGAGGCTGGGGCAGGCTGAGGCTGAGGCTGAGGCTGATGCAGGCTGAGGCTGAGAGGCTGACGCTGAAGCTGGGGCAGGCTGAGGCTGAGGCCTGAGGCTGAGGCAAGCCGAGGCAGGCTGAGGCTGAGGCTGAAGCTGAGGCAGGCTGAGGCTGAGGCTGAGGCTGTGGCTGAGGCTGAGGCAAGCTGCGGCTGAGGAGGCTGAGGCTGATGCAGGCTGAGGCTGAGGCAGGCTGAGGCTGAGGCTGAGGCAGGCTGAGGCTGAGGCTGAGGCCGAGCATGCTGAGGCTGAGGCCGAGGCAAGCCGAGGCAGGCTGAGGCTGAGGCTGAGGCTGATGCTGAGGCAGGCTGAGGCTGAGCAGGCTGAGGCTGAGGCTGAGGCAGGCTGAGGCTGAGGCAGGCTGAGGCTGAGGCCGAGGCAGGCTCAGGCCGAGACAGGCTGAGGCTGAGACTGAGGCTGAGGCTGAGGATGAGGCCGAGGCAGGCCGAAGCTGAGACAAGGTGAGGCTGAATGGGGGGGGGAAGGGGGGGGGAGGAGGGGAGGCTGAGGCAGGCTGAGGCCGAGGCAGGCTGAGGCCGAGGCAGGCTGAGGCTGAGGCTGAGGCTGAGGCCGAGGCTGAGGCTGAGGCTGAGGCTGAGGCTGAGGCAGGCTGAGGCTGAGGCAGGCTGAGGCTGAGGCTGACGCAGGCTAAGGCCGAGGCAGGCTGAGGCTGAGGCTGAGGCAGGATGAGGGTGAGGCCGAGGCAGGCTGAGGCTGAGGCTGAGGCAAGCCGAGGCAGGCTGAGGCTAAGGCTGATGCTGAGGCAGGCTGAGGCATCCGTAGGAATCCATCGGAATCCTTAGGAATCCCCCGGAATCCTTAGTAATCCGTAGGCATCTTTAGGAATCCGTCGGCATAGTTAAGCATCCTCATGAATCCTTAGGAATCCTGAGGATTCCTATGGATTCCTAAGGACGCCGAAGGATGCCTTTTGAATCCCTAGGGATTCTTAGGATTCCATTGGATCCTAAGGCCGTTGCCACTGCGACTGTCATTGCGAATGCGACTGCGACTCTGAGAACAGCAGAATTCTACAACTGGATTCTCACCTGAATCTTAAGGGGAATGCTTCCAGATATGCTTATACACATCACTGTTAGGTTGCTTTGCCGGGATAATTTGTAGTTCGACGTCGAATATCGACATTCGAATCGACGCTTTTTGTGCTGGACCTCGACGTGAAGCACATCACGACAAATGGTTTTGGGCAGTATTCGGCCTCCGGGGGCCCTCGCCGGCTCCTGGACCGTCAAGAAAGGATTCGGGATGGAGGACCGGTCCCCGGGAAGGGGTCCAGACCTTTGAAGTTCCACGAGTTCCACGTCATGAGCAAAGTCACGACGTCGGCGCTCTTGGAAGCTCAGGAGGATGGGACGATTTGGCGCGCGCCTCCTCCTCCTCGTCCTCCTCCTCCTCCTCCTCGTCCTCCTCCTCCTCCTCCTCCTTCTCCTCCTCCTCCTCCTCCTCCTCCTCCTCCTCCTCCTCCTCCTCCTCCTCCTCCTCCTCCTCCTCCTCCTCCTCCCCCCACCAGAAGAGGCCTCTTTTCGAGGGGTCGAGAAGTGGACATCCAGCGGAAGCCTGCGGAGGGCCAGAGGAAGCTGGCAGGCGTAAGACGACGGCGGTTCCGCCAGCCACTAGTGATCCTCCTCCTCCTCCTCCTCCTCCTCTCCTCCTCCTCCTCCTCCTCCCCCTCCTCCTCCTCTTCCTCCCTCCACCGCCTCCTCCTCCTCCTCCTCCTCCTCCTCCTCCTCCTCCTCCCCAATTTCCATTGTTTGCGTGAGCGGAGGGCGCTTCGTTATCAAATGTGCGCTCTCGCCAAAGATGTCCGCGCGATGATGGATCGAGCGGTGCCACATATCTAGATGGAGGTCGACCTTCTCCGTCCAACTCGCACTCACGTCGCAGCGCTGCTGGTCGAAGCTCCATGTGATCGCTGGCTCGCATCGCGAACCCTGTACAGGGTTCTTATTGCCCTCGTCCTCGCAGGGACAATCTATGTGGCAGGTCTAAGTCTTGTGCTCTGACCTTTTCAGCCATCCCAGGTTCCAGAACCGTGGCAGCGCCAAGGGGCTGTTACCATTCCAGTCTTCCCATGCGCCGCGTCTGTGACTTGTCCATGGGCCCTCTCTCCGCTCCTGCTGGCCCCTGCCGCAGCTGGCAGAAGCAGCCTTGCGAACGATGTCTTCGTCAAAAAGGAAAAGCCGTTTGAGCATGTTGTCCCCGATGGCCGCCCTCCATCAGCACATGGTGCCTCTTAGGAGAGGTCTCGGTGGTGCGGGTCTTGATGCGGGGAGGTGTGCTCCAGCATAGGTGGCAGCCTGAGATCCGCGTCGCGACACAACTGCACCATCGTGAGAAATCACGACCGGAGCCCCCGTATCCCATCTTCCTGCGGCATCTCCAGGGCGGGATCGAGCCGCGAAGGCCCAGGGGGGCCCGAATCGGGACGAAATTCTAAACGCTTCGCGTATCCCCACCAGCGTCCGTAGCCTGGCTCAAGCCGCTCTGGCTCGAGTCCAGAGCAGCAGGGCGCTCTCGCGGCGGCCCGGCGGCCGCGTCGGCGGCTATGTCGTGGCACAGTCGCCGCTGGCGGGCCGCGGGCCCGCTGCAGGCGACCGATCCGTGGGCTGGTGCGGCTGCCGCGGCAGCTCACTGGCCTGGAGACGGCGGCCGCGGCGGGGCACTGCCGCAGGACGCCGCCCGGCGAGGGTGGCATTGGACTCGAGTCGCCCGCCGCCCGCCGCCGCTGCCAGCGCGCCGCCGCGGGCGCCGCCGGCGCCGCTTGTGCCGCTGGCGCCGCGGGCGCCGCTGAAGCCGGCGCCGCTGGCGCCGCCGCCGCGGCGCGGCCGCCTCGGGGGCCGCTGCGCCCGGGTCGCATCGGCGCCAGCGGCAGCGGCGGCAGCCTCGGGCTGGGGCCGGCGGCGGCCGCGGGCGCCTCGGGCTGGGGCCGGCGGCCGCAGCGGGCGCCTCGGCGCCGCCGGCGCCGTGCGCCGCCGGGGCCGGGCGCCGCGGGCTGGCGGCTGGCGCCCGCCGCCGCCGCCCCTGCGCCCGCCAGCGCCGCGCTGCCGCCGCTGCCGCCGCCGCCGCCGCCGTGGCGGAAGCGGTTGCCGCGGCGGCCGCGGGCCACGCGGCCGGCGCCGCGGCCGCCGTGGCCCGCGCGGCCGCCCTTGGGCCCGCCGCCGCGGGCGCCGCCGCGGCCGCCGCGCAGCAGCAGCAGGAACTGCAGCTGAAGGAGCAGCAGCAGCGGGCCGCGGCCCTCGGCGAGCAGCCGCAGCAGCAGGGCAGCAGCAGCAGCAGCAGGGCAGCAGCAGCCGCAGCAGCCGCAGCAGCATGGCAGCCGCAGCAGCCGCAGCAGCAGGGCAGCAGCAGCAGCAGTTGCAACAGCTGCAGCAGCAGCAGCAACATAACCCAGCAGCTGCAACAGCAGCAGCAGCAGGGCAGCAGCCGCAGCAGCCACTGCAACAGCAGCTGCGGCAGCAGCAGCAGCAGCAGAGCCCCGCAGCTGCAGCAGCAGCACCCCCCGCAGCAGCAACAAAAGCCACCCAGCGACCACAAGAAGAACCCACGAGAAGACGCTGAGGCACCCGTGCTCCCTCAGCAGCTGCAGCAGGGCAGAGAAAAGGAGAGGGAGGTCACGGCGGAGTCGGCGGAGGCTGCGGAGGCCGCGGAGTATCGGGGGTCCGAAGCGACGGAAGCCTCGGAAGGTGCGGAAATGGCGCAAGCCCCCACTGATGTCTCTGGATCTGAGCACTACAGCGGCAGCCGCAGCAGCGGCAGCAACAAAGCCCCGCAGCTGCAGCAGCAGCACCCCCCCGCAGCAGCAACAAGAGCCACCCAGCGACCCCGAGAAGAACCCACGAGAAGACGCAGAGGCACCCATGTTCCTTCAGCAGCAGCAGCAGGGCAGAGAAAAGGAGAGGGAGGTCGCGGCGGAGTCGGCGGAGGCTGCGGAAGCCGCGGAGTATCGGGGACCCGAAGCGGCGGAAGCTTCGGAAGGTACGGAAGTGGCACAAGCCTTCACTCGTGTCTCTGGATTAGAACCGGGTGGACAGGGGGTGGCCCCCGATAGTGCCGACGGTAGCCGCAACAGTCAGCCGAGCGAGATTCCGGGACAGCAGGGGCTCGCCTGCCACGCCGTGCCACCCCCACCTCCCCCTCAGAACAATCAGACCGTCAGCAGTCCTCTGGGGGCGCCACAGACCCAGCAGGGGGGCTGCGGACCAA